GGTCAAGAGAAGGGCACACATTGGCAGAGGAAATAGAAAAGGAAGAAAAAGCTACCTTTCATATTGGAATCCCAGCATACCAAGACATTTTTCACAGGTTCCCTACTAACAGTAAGTCAGACTTCACTAGTAGTCATTCAGGCTGATATTTTGTGTATGAAAAGTTCATATTTCCTTCACTTCTCCAAAGCTCTTGTGAATTTTGAAATTTGTAAATAAACTCTTTATTGGTTCTTTGGGTGATTTCTGTGATTTATGCTCTCTGTTTTTCAAAGGCTTTTGAAAAACTAATAAATAAATAATGTTCTAAAATATTCATATTTTTCTGCAGTCCATTATATATTCCTCTTCCTCCTAGAGCTTCCCTCTCCTCTCCACCCATGTTCAGACACATGCACTGGGCCTGATTCATTATCACTCTGAGTATAACATAGCTAGGGACAATGGACTGGGAAACAGGAATGAAGCTTCTAATTGTGAACTCCATTTGGAGTAAAAGGCCTGTCTGAACCAGCACTGCATTTTTCCTGCAGAAGTCCCTGGCCCAGGAAAGTCTTTGATCCAGCTTGTTTACATGACAGTGAATTGTGGGTAGGCTGTAGGTGAGAAAGAACATGGCCAGAGTGGTCAGGCCTTCTAGCTCTTCCTCAGATATCAAAGTATCTGTGGGTCTTGTTACACATGATTTTTAGGCAGCTCCTGGGCCTCTTAAACCCTGTATTGTCCACACAATAACACCTGAAACTAGCTTTAAACACATTTTAAGTGACTTAAAATTATACCACTCGAGGTCAGATTTCTCTCTGATCCATGTTAACCAGCTTATGTTCCTTTAATACGTGGCTACTGCCCACAGATGAGCTGCCTAAATTGCAGTCCTCCAGCATCCCAGGATGCAGTGTTCCTTTCCACACACCCCTGTTTCTGTGTGGACAAACTTTCCACCCCCTGAATTCTACTGCCTGGGTTGCAGGGTGGAGAGGGTTCTAGCACCAAGCCAAATCCCTGACTTACCCCAGGGTATGACCTTCCCACCCCAATGGCTGCTACCCCATGCAAACAGCCTGCAGAGCACATGCCAGCTAAGCAAGTTGCAGGGCATGGATGGATCTGGGTGTGTGGTGCAATGGGGGGGACAAAGTAGGGGGCAAAATTGGGTCCCCATGAGCTGAGGCTTCCTTCCTGGTACAGAAGCAGTGCCTCCGCAAAAGTGCCTTCCCTCACCACACCCACCTTCCAGCCATCCCAGGAAAGATGATCAGCACCCTCCACGCTCCAATGCTAATCCCAATCCCAATTTACTTCCTCTTTATTTCTTTTTAAAATTCCCCCCCTCCCCACCCCCCTACTTCTTATTTTGTCCTTCAGTAGCTGGCTGGCTTCATTTCACCACCCATCCCCCATCTCCATTTCCTTTCCAGCTCCCATTTCTTTACCCACTCTCATCCCATTAACCCTCTGCCTTCGAGATTCATGATCCTGCCCTTCTAACCCATCTCTCCAACTGTCCCACCTAGAGCAGAGATAGAGAAGCCTGTCCTTTAGTGGCAACTCACAGCTATATCTCCTACTCTGGCCTCAGTTCACCAGCCCTCTAATGGCAAGTCACAGCTGTGCAGGTCAGGGACAGTCAGAGAAAGTTTTTAACCTTAAGGTGTGATTGTTCCAAATCACTAGCACTAACACCAATTAATATTTGAAAAGTTCAGACTGCAATATGTAACAAGGCCCCGTCATTATTCATTCACTCATTCATGAAGTCATACAACGCATTCTTGATCATCATCATAGAAGCCTGCCTCTGACTTCACTGGAGATCCAGTGTAAACTATAGGGAGTATTTTGGCCTAAATTTATGCCTTAATCCAAGGACCACAATTAAAAGTAGAATTTTGCCTTTATCACAGAATGAGCTTGATTCCTTTGTTTTAAAGGCAGCCATAATAGGTGCTTCCACTGTTCAAAACTAGAAACTGAAGGAAGGAAAATGTAAATAATGAATAGTATAGAACACAGGTTGAAGAAAACCAAGAACCCACAAAAGGTGTGAGCCAACATCCACATCAGCAGGTTTCTGCATATTGTTTGCAATTAGCAAATCATTATCATTATTTATATTAATAATGCAATGAGAAAAGCAGAAGGCAAAAGCAGAAGGATCAGAGGAGCATACTCAATACACAGAGGTCATATTCCATGCACCACATTCCCAGTGCAGCTTCCAAGAGGATACCAAGACCCATTTAGACAGCTGCACCCTCTTTACCACCTGTGAATGGGATCTCTGGTCCTAGTCTTCAGAATGATCTACGTGCTTTCTGAGATATAACTTCCATCAGCATGTTCTGCTTTTCCTGTTTGTGGGGTAACGTGGTTATCCACAAAGTCCACAGGAACTAGACAGCAACATGTCAGCATTAGACTACAGACAACTGTTAATCAGATAGTAATGAATCCCAACAGGCTGCACATGACCAGAGATGGAAAAACATTGCCTGTTGAAGAATCAGATGGGAACAAAGAATAAGTACAAGGTTGGAAGTTTATTAGTGAAGATGATTGCACACTTCTATACACATAGTAGGCGGACAGATAATTAAGCACCATCAAAAATCATAGAACGGTCATTTCAATAAAGAACAGGAGAGAGTTGAATCCTCACATCAACTCCAATCAGACAGTGGGACCATTCACTAACCTAAGCTACTAAGGTGCCTGATGTCATGTAACAGGCAGTGAATTATTGCCATATGATATGACACTGATGTGTAGATCCCCGAGTCCAGCTCTGCATTGTAATCATGTGTATGAATGAACATGGGAAGTGGGGAAAAGTACCCAACTGTTTCAACACTGAGTATGTTCCTTTGCCAGGTTGACTTAGGCTTTACTCTGTGCAAGCACTGGAGGCAATTTCTCTGCTATCCTCTTTCCAGTATAATGGTGCTGCCACTCCCTCTGGCAGCCAAACCAAGGTGTACTCTGGTTACCCAGGGAATTGCCCCATGTTCACCTGTTGTGTCTTAATCTTAGTATTAAGTTTGTGAGGTAGCCCTCAAGTTACCAGAGTGACACCTTGGGTGCCTCACTCCACCCTGCTCATTACTGAGCCACCTCAGTCTGGCCCAGTCTTTAAAGAACTCGCCTCTAAGCAGGGTATGTCTACCCTCAGTTGGCCAACCTCCTCAACCCATGAGGCCTCAGTCAGCCCAGATCAACAACAAAACATCTCTAGGCACCCACACTCTTACTCCCCTTAAAGCCACCCCATGCCTTGCAGCTAAATAGAAATCAAAGACAGAGGACCTTGTCACTCAAGACACTTAGCACATGTTTTATTTCGATTGTAGTAAGCATTACCATGCCTTATTAAAATGTGTTCTGAGCAATCATGCAGTAACAGTTGAGACAATCTCAGCCTGCTCTGGACAGGGCTGGAACTGTGCCCCTCCTCCTCAACACTGGGTGCTGCAGCTTGCACATCTTCCTGTGAGGAAGTACAAACCCGCACCCTCCCTTGCACTGCCTGGCCAGGGACCACCTGCACCCTCGCACAGCAGGGCAAGCCAAGCCTCTGATGCTGGCAGCAGGCTGATGGGAAGCTGAGTCTGGGAGAAGGTACCATTCCTGCCACTGGATCTGAACCTGGATTTGCTGCTGGATTAGCAGAGTGAGCCAGCTCTCTGCTGCTTGCAGTTTTAAACTAGCCCTGGTGTGGTGCCAGAGCTGGGACTGACAATCAGCTGATTGTTCATCCTGAAAGAGTTCAAATTCACATCTCTCTTCCCCACAAGAGAATATTTTAACCACCAACCTACAAACTATACTCTCCTCTCCTTCCGTTCAAGCAAGTATACTATGCAGAAAAAAATGCATTACCACGGTGCTTCCCAAACTTCCTCAGCATGACTCCATTTATGGCCCTATTTCCTCAGCTTGGCCCCTCATTCCCAACCCACCCCCATGACCCTGTCCACTGATGTTGCAACCCCATGTAGGGTTGTGACCCACAGTTTGGGAACCACTGCATTAACAGCTCTGGTATGAGGGGGCAGCCTGGGCCAGGCTAGGTTCAGGGAGGAACGCCCTGCAGGACTAGGGATTGAAGATCCTGGAGACTGTGAGCGAGGAAGAATCCCAAAAGAAAGATCAATTGGTTTTGTCATTGGGCACTTAAGGCATGTTAACTGCATGTCTGCCTATTCAACTGATAGTTGCAACCCCAGCACCGCATAGTGGCAGGGTCAAGAGGAAAAACCATAACTTTGCTACTATACAATAACATTTAACATACATTTTACTGCTTGGACGCATGGGTGCTTGAGCTTTAAGTGCAGTTAACATGTCCGGGTATAACATGCAACATGGCCCAAAGACAAAATTAACTTCTCATTTTCTTAAAACTCTCTTCCTCAGTCCCCAGGCTCTCCCCTCCCCAGTCCTTCAAGGAATTCCTTCTCTGAGCCTGGCTCAGACTGACCCCTCAGCCTAGACCTCTGTTAAAATCTTTTGCCTGGTTCCACCCCTTTAGGTCTCCAGGACCCCCTTCCTCAATGGAGAACAGAGGTTCTTCATTAGCAGACTTACACAGGGCTAGGGACACAGGCATGGGTGAACTGGGCAGCCGCGCATGGCCCAGATAGAAAGGAGGCCCAAAAATGGTAATTTTTTTTTTATTATCATCATCATTATCTCTGGCAAAAGGGAAGAGGAGGGCAATACTAAGAGTTCATCTGGGGCCACCAGGAATCTAGGTACAGCACTGGACTCACAGCTTTGCAGCCTGCTCTCTGCAATTAGTCAGTCAGTTATAGAGATCCCAGGACCCTGTTACATCAGATGAGCCTTGTTTGTATTTCTGTAACTTTTAGGCATTGCAACAGGTGACTTGTATCTGGGAAGTTCACAACCCACTTAATTTGCTTCCAAATTAAAGACAGGCTACTCATCTGATTGCTACAGCTTTTACTTCAAAGGATGCATCCTACTTAGCTGGAGCTCATCAGCAGTCCCATGCAGCCAAGGATGCAATCGAAGAAGCCTCATCCTTTGAAATAAAAGCTGCAGCAAACAGGTAGAGCATCACGGTACTCCTGTACAGCTGTTTGCTGCAGCAATATACACTCCCAGACACTTTACAAGCCCTCATCTTTGTAAGGAGCCTAATTCTGCAATGAATTGGAGTTCTATTCTTTACCATAACTGTGCACTACATACACAGGGTAGTCTCAGTTGTATGAGCTTCATGTGGCTCTTGGGCAGACACGGCTCAATTACACCTTTCCCCACAAAGCAGATAAGAGAATCAAGCCTTGAGAACCAAATGGAGCCCCCAGAAGGCCACCTTTCTTCCACTCTTACAAATTTTTTCAGCCTCCTATATGGGAAAACTCCACAGAATGGCCATTGCTGATCTAAATAATCCTACTGGATTTAAGAGTCTGGACCAGATCCAATTCTACCCATTAGACATGTAAGTAAACGTGGGTTTCTGAGTGTTATCCTATGCCACCTTACTTTAAAAATAGTTCATACTGCTTCTGATTGTTGCACCTAGTCACTTTTGGTTACTTAGGCTGGAAGCTAAGACACTGTCCTGTTACAAAATGAACACATGAACATCTTTTCAGTGATTTGAGCTGGGTGGAGGAGGATCAAATTTAGGTGTCTAGGTCCACTTAGACACCTAGGGCATATCCCCACGAGTAGGAACATACGTTTCCCTGGGAACAAACAGCAGCAGCACAATATGTGCCACTGCTACTTGTCCCCAGGGAACGCCTATATATGCACACTCTGGCACATGGCATGTTGCCCCGGATGGGGTAGGGGAGGCTGGGGTCATCAGCTAGGCTGGCCCCAGCAGTCTTTCCTAGCATCCTAGGGGCCTCTGGCGGCTGTAGCCACAGCAATCCAGTAGTAGGGAGCCTGGCCGGCAGCTGGACTGTGGCTCCAGTCGACCAGGTTCCAGTTCCAGGTGATGCACTCTGCTGCCACATGCGCTGCCCCGCATTTTTTAGGCAGGGTCTTTTTGACACTGGAATCTCCCAGTGTCAAAAAAAACCCTTTGCACTTCAAATTAGCAGTACAGAGAATGCCTGCATGAGTGGTGCCGTAGATGGGTCTGCAGCACCACATACCACACATGCGCAGTTGTCTGGACATGCATGTAATTAGTAGATTAGGCTCTGACCCTATGAGTGTGTAATGGTGTGTTGGATTGCACCAGGGAAAAGCAAACTGTGGTGCAAACTTTGGCAGGAAAAGATGAGATGGAGCCAGGAACCGTGTTGAGCCTCTCAGGAACATTAGCTGCTGATGGGTACAGTGTGGAAGTAGCTGTTCAGGATAATCCTATATTCCTGGGACAGCATGAGCAGCTCATAAGTACACCTCCTAAATATACACAGTGAAGTAAAGTATTGCATTGCATGTCCCAGATGTCTGCTCATGTGGCCCCGGCTTCAGGCAGAAACTCTTATGTCAAGGCAATTGTATGTGTTCTATGTACGACTCTCCTCTCTATCCATCAAGGAAATGGAATGGATTATCTTACTACTCCAGTATATTTTAGCTACTTTTTGCCATTCTAACAGCACAAAGATGCACCAGGAAACTTATTGGTAGGCTACTAAACCATCTCTGTTTAGTACAGAAACTTCAAAGCATCTTCACAATAGTCCCTAATCCAGCCTTTCCACAATGCTGGGGGTTAGGCCGGGTGAATGAAACAAGACTAGGGCTGTTTTATGATAAACCTTGGTAATTCCTGGTTGCAGAAATGGCTCCTTGCACATACTGCGAGGTAGTACAAATTAAAGAAGCTCTTAGACAACACATCTACATGTGCCTATTAATACACAGCCATAAACTCCAGAGCTTATTGCTGTTGGGCACACGTCTGCACATGCGCCGGTGATAGCAGCACATTGAGCTGGGATGGAGCAGTCCCAGCTGGCAGGGGGCCCTGGGGGCTGCTCCCCTCAGCTCAATGTGCTGTGGAGGGGCTCGTTGCACAAGCGTGCTTCAGTGCAGGGCTAGCTTGCAGGCCACCCCTGCGCTGAAGCACCCTCGTGCCCTAGCCAGCCCCTCCACCATCCACATGTGCAGTGCTATGGAGTTTTTTACTCAGCAGCAAGATAGTACTTGTATTTACAAGCACTGTTGCTGCAGAGTAAATTCATTTACTCCAGCCTAATATACTTAATAGGGGCTCAGCTTTTTAGTCTACTGTGCAGTAAATGTCTCACATAAACGTGCCCAGTGAGCTCTAATTTGAGCCCAAACCCTTCTTTCCTGCCAGCAATAGGTCAAGGATCCACAAAAATACCTTTGTGTCCCACCTCATCTTTAGCAGGGATGATTTCTTGGTTGCAGCACAGGAACTGGCTCTCTGACTTCACTCTTAAGGATGTCAAGGAAACAGGATCTATGTGTATTGACTTTGCACGGATGAGTGACAAAGGGTGGATTGGATAAATGAACTCGATATTTGTCTATCTGGAACTATTGCATTGAATTGCTTCAGGCTATTAAAGTTCCTGTTCAAAAAGATGGGTTCATCTCAGTGACAAATTTCTAATGCTTTATGCATTATATATAAGAATCATTCCAACCACAGAACTGCAGGCCCTTATTGGTGCAACTTAGATGAGAATGATCTTAGGATCCTTAACTATTCCCTACAATAGTTGGAGATAATAAATGAAAAAGAATATTGTATCCAGTGGACACTGGAAGGCAGCATGGATGTGTCTAAATTGGACAAGACGCTATAGTTATTAATGTTGTTCTTACAGTAAGGGCTATAGGAGTTCAACTATTTAGGACCTTGCTTTTATGCAAGTGTGTACGTGTAGTGCTAACTAAGTAGAAAATATGGACACTCATTATCATAGGGTGAGTCCTGGGGTATAAATCACATTTCTGTCATTGAAGTTTTTCCCACTGAAATGAAATGCCATATGCAAGAACAGTGAGCTCTGGAGAGAGAAGGTATAACACATGCATAAGCCAAAGCAGGGAGGTATGCGAGGGAATATGGTATTTCACTTCACTGACTACCATGTAAATCTTAATCTTCAGGAACTGATGCTTTATGGAAAAACACAATTTCACTTCAGATAAGGAGCCTTATTATATACCACTTTAAAGCTCTTGACAAAAGCAGGTGGTAAAATTATCTAGAGTGTTTTTATAATAAAACCTACTGCATGAGGCAAAGCACAGAGCAATCTGCTGTTTTAATTATATGCTCGGAGCAGATGCAATATCTTCAGCTTTAATAAACATTGACCCTTTAACTGGATGTGCCCTACAAACACATTAATGCCCATCTGGGAAATAATCCAATGAAATAATCCAATCACGCCAACAGGGAACAACTGTAAGACTGGCAAGTTAGGGCTCATATACTTTAGGCTGTAACAGGCTGCTCCCTATTAGCTTGTTGCTGGAACTGTGTATCCTTCATAGGCTTTTGCTTCTTGTTTTAAAAGTAATTTTAAAAGCCAGTACTCATGAAATGTGTCAGACTAAAATCATTACAAATGAAGTCTGCCTGGGTTAGAGCCCAGATGTTCTGTCTTTATTACACAGGCATCATTTTAGAGAAGGAGAGGATAATTATATCCACACGTATCCCAGGAGGCATTTGCCCCCAAGAAAGGTTATTACTGATGCTACTTTTAGCCTTCCTATTGGGTGTATGTTGGGCTGGGGAATCCTTTTAACTGTGGTCAGTGCTCAACAGGAGCTTATTCAGTGTATCCTGTTTAGAAGTTATCTCCTTTCTGACTGGAGGAAGCCCTTGCAATATTTGGCACACATTCGGCCTTCCGAATGCAGCGAGAGTGGCACAGCTTTAAGGACAGAAGAATTACTCCTAGCACAGTAAATGACAGTGGCTGTTTGCCCAACCTGTACATATCAGCTTGAGATCAACTCAAATCTGAACTCTGGATTCAAAATCCTCACTTCAGATTCAGAACCTGCTTCATGGTCAGTCATTAGCCTAATAGGCTAGAGACAGAAGTTACATATCAACCAGTATACGTGATCAGAAACTGATACAAATATGTAAAACAACAGCAGTTCAGTGCATATAAACCACTTTCAAAATGGCTTAAACTGGTTTCAGATAAATCTGGACAGATGTAGAATTAGACTTAACTAATTTAGGTTAAATCAGTTTATTGAACTTCTGTCCCAGATCCCCTCCGGATTTAAGTTAACTCACAGTTTCCCAGCATCCTAGGATGCTTTGCACCTCCCCTGACCCCTCCCCGCCCCCACCCGGGAGGGTGAGCAGGCTAGCCTTAGCTCAAGCTGAGTATACCAGCTGAGCAGGGAGGCATGCTTTAGAGCCCCCAGCTTCTGGCCTGGGCCACTGCAGGCACATGGCTGCATTTCTGGAATCAAAGGTAAATATCTGTTCACTTGTCTATTGGTTCAATCTGCACAGTTTAAGACTAACCTGTAAAGATTAAATTGATTCAGCCTTGGGCTATTTGACTGCCTGTACTTAGTCATAATGTACTAAATCAAGATCTAAATTTCTAGGCATAAATATAGAACCTAGATCATAATTTCTTTGAATTGTGTGGACCCTGTTGGATATATTATGTTATTTGCGTTACTAGTGTCAAGTCCTGGCTGACATGAGAGCCCAGTTGTGCTTAACAAACATTCTGTAAAGAGGCAGTAACAGAGCATTCCACGAAACATCACAGTCTAAATGGACAAGAGGCAAACAGAGGCACAAGCCAGTGAAATTACTTGCCCATGGTATCACAGTTGATCAGTGGCAAAGCTGGACATAGAGACCTGGCCCCTTGCAATTGTATTATATCCTCAGATTTCTAAAGTACAACTATGGATGTCCATCCACTAGACTATGGCGATATCAGATTCCAGTCTATTCAGGCCACAAACATCTGGGAGATTGACCATGAAGATGCCAGTCGATGCTAATTGTGCAAGTCTGTTTGGCTGAAAATGAATTGTCTACTAAATGCTGAACAAAGGTGACTAACTAAGTAAGGACCAGAACTGCCACCTCCCTGCTAGGCCCCCATCGGGCCCCGAGGGAGGCACACCTGAGCCCAGGGTAAGTGAGGCTCTAGTTAGGGAGCTGCTGGAGGGGCTGGACGTTTTTAAGTCAGCCAGTCCGGATGATCTCCACCCTAGAGTTCTAAAGGAACTGGCCGGGGTCATTGTGAGTCCCCTGGCGCAGCTTTATGAGCACTTGTGGTGCTCTGGAGAGGTGCCGGAGGACTGGAAGAGGGCCAACGTGGTTCCCATCTTCAAAAAGGGGAGGAAAGAGGACCCGGGAAACTATAGGCCAGTCAGTCTTACCTCGATCCTGGGCAAGCTGTTCGAGCAAATTATTCTGGCACACATCCAGGAGGGGCCAGCAGGGAAATGCATGCTCAGGGGCAACCAGCACGGGTTCATCAATGGCAGGTCATGTCA